ATTATATTATTTTGATTACTTGTAACATTTGTAGATTTAGTCTAAAATGGAATTTTTTAAAGATTGGAGAGGCAAAAACAACTATTGACTCATATTATGCATCAGTAAGTAAATAATAATTATTTATTATTGAATATTATTGTTTAACTAAATATTGAATTTGTATAATTGAATATTTACAGATAGCACATGCAATTAAATGATATATTAGATCTGAAAGTAATATTACTATTATAAGTGATATTGAAAATGCAATAAAAATCTTTGTAGCACTACAATTTGTCAAATTGAACCTAATTGAGAAATAACTAAGGGTAAGATAAGTATACTTTCTGAAATATTTAACTAGTTTGAATGGTAATAACCTGTAGAAGATCCATATTCTGATTATATTCTTGCAAGAGTCTTACCAAATAGATAAAATTTTTGCTAGCTAAAATACAAAAATTATTAAAAAATAATTTTTAAAATTATAACTATATACCAATACACCTTCTGTAATTCAATCTATGTAGACAATATCTATATCACATGCAACAGGTATAATATTGTTTTGTTTTGCTTAATATCAAGTTTTTTGATCAATTATTATAACTTTTTATTCATTTGATTTATAGAAAAAAATACTAAACGATATAGTATTGAGAAAATCAAAAAGGTTTTAACTAGATAAAATATTGCATTCAATAATAATTTAGATCAAAATTCACTTGCAAATCTCTTACAAGATCATTTAAATAATAAAACAATTGAGAATAATAATATCATAAATTTATTATGAAATTAATTGTAAATAAAAAATTTACTTTTTTTACATTTTTACAATAATTTTTAAGGCTCAAGATTATATAATCCTAATCCATTATTATAAGATTTTTTTTTTATCAAAGTAGATTTACTATTATCAATAGTAACTATTATAGTATTTTTTTATTCCTAGGAAATAATTAATTAATTTCTAGTAAATTTGTAGACAATAACTTTTATTTTTCACCTGGATGGGCATTGAAACAAAATCAAAAATTTGGAATAAAAAGTGAAATACAAATAGTGAAAAGAGTAATACAATTAATACAAGGATATTTTCATTTAGGTAATGCAAATCATTATGATCGTTATACTGCAGAAAGAATGCTTAGTAAATTGCAAGCTTTAGCTATATCAGGAAAAGAACTTTATAGTATTATGCTACCTAAAATACAGATTATTAGAAATTAGATTACTCGTTATACTGCAGAATGTAAGAAAAAAATGGCAGAAATAACTTTGCAAAGAATAAATATATTATAATAAAAAAAATAAAGTAAAATTTTATTATTTTTAAAAAAAAAAGTTTTAGAATTTACATTTTTATTTTTTTGATTCTTATGAGTTATTATATAATAATATTAGCGAATATATAGATGCTTATAAGTAAACTTAAAAAAAACTAACAAATAATCAATTTTTTTTATATATTTGTAAAGCATATACTATGTTGATAATTATATGTTAATTGTAGAGTTATTAGAACATTCTAGAAAAAGTTATCATAAAAATAAAATACATAATATTTTATTATAAACTATATAAAATTTTTCCTAGAAATCAATTAAGAAAATCCTACATGTAATTGGCAAATCACAAATTAATCAAATAAATATTAGATATATCAAATCAGACTAGTATTTTATCTATATTAAGAATATTTCCTAATTCAAATAATTTTTTAATCTTTAAATTTTTAATAGACTAGTAAAATTTTTCTAATTATTTCTGAGTTTATTAAAAAGTTTTTGAAAAATTTTAGTCTATTTATGTAATGCTAAATTGAATTTTTTATAAACCTAATATCTAATATTAAAATATATTAAATTTCTTCTCTAAAATATCATAAAGAATTATTATTTCAAATTCTTTTAAGATTTCTAACATTTTGTTTTTATTGTTAAATAAGTTACTGCAAAACCTTATTTTCTTTATTATATACTAAGTATAAAGCTTTTCTTTTATTTCTAAAAATATAGTTTTTACTAGAGGTTGGAACTGGTTTTAATTTTAGAAACCAGTTTTATTCATGTTATGAAAATTGGAATCAGTTATATATTGGTTTGAATCGATAAATCAATAAACTGGTTAAAATCGATAAATGATAAAATGAGAAACTGATAAACTGATTTTCAATATATTTTTTCAGCTTGTCGTTACTTTTTTGTAACATAATAAGATAATGAATAAAAAAATAATAATAATAATAAAAATGTAGATTAAATCAACAAATAATTAATTTAAAATTTAATTGTTCAATTAATATAATATTATTTATTATATAAATGTTTAATTAATAAGTAATTCCATTACATTTAAAATTAAAATTTAAAAATTAAAAGAATTAATTATTAAGTACTAACTATTATGACAAGTGTTAATTATTAAATTTCTTGAGGCAGAAATATTTCAAAATGTGTATTATTGTATTTTAAAAATAATACCTTATTTACTAGATCAGGTAATAAGCACGTTTATTTTGCAAAAATATGATTTCTAGAATTGAAAAATAATCGTTTACTTAACACTAAAGTGGCAGAGATCGAAAGATATTTCCTTGCAAGTTGCGTCAAAATAGGAAAACTATCTTTATGATTAACCTATCAGGTTAAAGAATCGTCATTAACTTTAATATTCTTTATATTTTTATAGCGTAATACTTTGTTGTCATTATCTGTAATCGTTTATGTACAGTCACCTTCAAGATCATGAAAAAAATTATTGTTATTGTCATTCTGATCCTTATCTTCTGTCAATTCTATGTCATCTGGAATATGAAGACTTGATTTTAATGCATCATATTTTGTTTTTAATAATTGAAACGCTTTATTACATTCATCTAGAAAATGTTTAAACCTTAGATCAAAAACGTGGCGATTAAAGTATTATCAATCGAAACAGACCATAATTCATCTAACGAAAAATAAATTGCAGCTCAAACTTTTTCAATTAATCCAGTAATATTAACTGATAATAAGAATTTATTTGATTTATATCTTCAATACTTTCGATTCTTGTTCATTTTTTAACTAGTTTTATTCGAATTTGTCTTCTTTGGTCACATATTTTCATTCTTTAATAAAATTATCAATATGCATATTGTTATTGTTGTCGAGTACTAGCAGCAGGTATGTCATTATCAGTTATTTCATCGTCACTTTCTTCATAATTTTCTCTGTAGATAAGATTTAAATAAGAATCAATAGTCTTTTCTTTATCTGATCTTAAAGCAAATTATTTTTTAAGAGATTCCATAAAAGGATAAATAAGATTAAGAGTAGGATAGCTTACACCATACAAATGCTGAGTCACAATTTCAATCAGTTCCAATAGCTTTACTATATTTTGTATAAACCTACAAAATAAATAAATAATAAGAGTTAAAAATTTGAATTGTACTTAAAATATAAAATTTATGTTTTTTGTATATTAAAAAATAAAATAAGATAATTGATAATAAAGTTAAATAAAAAAAAATATGTATTACTCTTTTTTTGCAACTGATAAGTAAAGTTGTTCTAGTTTTTTACCTTCTTTTTGAAAAGTAGATCTGTTTTTGAAAGAAGCAAAATTAAAACAAATCTCATTGAATTATGCAATTCTAGAATGCGCTTTCAAGCCAAATAGGTAGAGTTCTATCATGTCTTGACATCTGTTAGAAGGTCGAGATAACTTTGAATTAAATTTTCTCTTTAACTTGATTATTTTGCACTTCACATAAACGTTGAGCCTGCTTAAGAAGCTGAAAAAAGGTTTGCAAACTTTTGACATGACGATAAATAGCTTTACATTGTTTCAGTTCTTCTTGGATTGATAATTGTAAAATATGCATTGCATAAGGTTAACATTCTATACCACTAATATAATTACTATTTAATAATCTTATTCCCTTTACCATATTAGGACTGTTATTTGTAGAAATGGTAAAAACTATTGTTTAAAGAAGCCATTCAGAAATTATTTTAAATAATTCTTCACTAATTACTTCCCCAGTATATGAATATGAAAGATGGTTGCAAGAAAGAAGAACTTCTTAAAACTTAAAATCAGAAGATAACCAGGAAGCTGTAACACCTAAATAACCATGTCAGGACTTTGCAGTCCATAAATCAATAGTTAAATAAATGCTTGTTATGCTACTTCGAAGTAATGAGCTAAGTTAATCATAGCTCTAATTATATGCTTCATGTATTAGCCCTTTAGCAGTTTTAACACATGGAATGCGAAATCCCAGCTCACATGTGAAAATAAAATC